ATTGATAAAACACCAGCTTCACCATGTTACCATGGCCAATCATTGATGAGGGCAAAACATGCTACAGGACTTGACTTTTGCACGATAGAACTCATTGACACCTTATGTTACAGTGCTCCTGCCAGGTTGCTGTGCATGCCTCATTGATCTGCGCAGGATGCATCCCATGGCTTTTAGCCTGCTTTCATATTGCTCACTCATTCACATTTACTTGAACACACAGCCCATCTGTTTGCATTTTAGCACATTGTCACATCTTTGAGAGCTTACAAGTTCACAGCATCTCTGCCTTTGCTGGTTTCTTAGTCCAGACAGAACCATGGTTGCCAGCACTGAACAGTCATAAGAACATGAAAAACACGAGCAGGAGTAGGCCATCTGGCCTGATGAGCCGTCTGTGCCATTCAATAAGATCATGGCTGATCTTTTCATAGACTCAGCTCCACTTACCCACCCGCTCACCATAACCCTTGATTCTTTTACTGTTCAAAAATCTATCTTTGCCTTAAAAGCATGCAATGAGGTAGCCTCAATGTTTCACTGGGCAGCAAATTCCACAGATTCACAACCCTTTGGGTGAAGGAGTTCTTCCTAAACTCAATCCTAAATCTGTTCCCCTTATTTTGAGGTTATGACCCTAGTTCTAGTTCCCCTGTCAGTGGAAACAACCTCCTTGCTTCTATCTTACCTATTCCCTTCATAATTTTATCTGTTTAATGAGACAGATTCTGGTGCTGTATGGCACTACGCTAATTCAATGTCACACTTACACCCTGTTCCAATAGCTCATGTGGTAAACACATTGAATGTGTTTCAACCAAATGGCCATGTCTAAAAATCTAAGAGGAGTGGTCCTTAATGGAATGATGGGGAATCTGTATCACTAAGAGGTTCCAGCTGCACTCAGTCAAGAGTGGGGAAGGGGTAGCCTTGACTATCAGGCAGAGCCTGCAATCCACTCACAGGAGTGCAACCTGGATAGCTTGCCATCTATGACTGATTCTCAATTGCACAATAAGGGCGAAAAATGGCTGCTAACATATTCACAATGGGCAGAGTACATTTCATTACTTTTTGCCTGTTGTGTACATGTTTGCAATGTGAGGCTGAGTTTGAATAGTAATTGAAACACTGCTCATCATCTATCCTTGATTGAGAGTGAACAATCACATAGTCAGTCACACACAGAGTTTTTTGCAAGTGTGGAATATGAGTGAAGGTAAGACCCTTTTACAAGTGTTTCATGTTATCTTTGGCCTCAGTAATCCTATAAAAACTCTTAATCCTGCCTGCACTCATGAAGGTAAGTGATGAAGGGTATCTGCCCAATGTCTGCTGCTAGCCTGCAGTCAACATATTTTCAGTCCTCCCTTGGACATATGAAGTGGTTGCTTAACACTGACTTGGTAGCCACGTAACCAGTTCTTCCCTCTAAAAGGAAAGTTCAGACATGTGACAATTGAAAGTGCATAAACATTCACAGATGTGAAAGTGATTTGACAATGATTTGTCACCGATGCTACTTGTGTTCACTCAGAGTATTTTTTTCCCAATGTCTCATTTTGTTCAAGTGCACTCCCAGCATCTGCA